TAATGCCTTACACTGCAACACACAGAAAGCACTTGTAGGAGTCTTAGTCTGTCTGTGAAATCGTTGCTACCTAAGAAAGCCTGATTGATTTTAAGGTTGTTCCCAGACTTAGAAAGGAAGTTGGTGGATGTGTGTGGTTAAGCAGGCAAAGGCAGTGACAGGTTTTTGTGATGTGGGGAAAGGTAGCCATGACTGACGGGACATACTGGCCAAGAATGACACAGACACCATCATGGGATCAGATGATGGCTGCTAATTTATCACAGAAGATAGATAAATGGATAATCAGCCATAAACAGTAATCAGTGTATGGGCCCAGTCCAAACAGTTCATTCTTCAGAGAAACCAAAATTGTTTTGGCACAGTTAAGAACTATTGGGAAAAGAGCAAGAAAAGATCTGCAGGTCCAGAAGTTTATTTTCCTTTTCTGGAAAGGGAAAATATCCAGCATCTCACCTCCCAGTTTGTTTCTGCTGCCTACTGTCACCACGTAAAAGCAGAGATAGAAGCAGTGTTGTCTCACCCAGGGCATCCCTATACACACATCCCTTTTCATGAGTCCAGTCAAGTCCCAAGTCTGAATTTCAGCTGCAGACAGTAGCTTTATTATCTGCCTGCGGGCGCATGAGCCACTGATGTGTATTTTGCAACCCTGAGAAAGTTGATGCAGCTTTTGACAGCTGACGTTGGTTGAAAATCTGTGCAGATGTACCTCTGAGGTGGTGAAGGTTGCCCTGGCAGTTGTTGGGTACGTGCTCCCCTTTACCTCAGCACCATTTCCACTAACAAATGGCAACGCTACAGTGTCAGGATTTGTCTTTATGAATAAACATGCTGCTAATGACCTGGTGTTGCAGGTGTTTGTTGGATTTGTTAGAGGCAAGTGGGGTTCACTGATGGAACAGGCTTCTTGTCAGCTGTCACCTGTGGTGGATAATGTGCTTTGAATTGAATTTCAGACTCCAGAGCTGAACTGGTGTGTGACATTTTGTAAACATTAAACCAGCAGGCTAAACGTTTGAGCAGTGTTTCATCTGTATTGTAAGGCTGATTTCTGCTCTCCTGCTTTGCACGGTTTGGTTGGAAGGTGTAAGGATGCGGTGTGGGTACAGAGAGGCATGTGTGCACCAGGTCTTTGCGTGAGTCATTGCCAGGGCCACTGCTGAAGGCAGAGTGTGCAGTGCGCATCTTCCTGACACATCCCTGCTGTTTTCTCTTTTTCACAGGGGAAGCAATACACTTGGGAAGTCTTATCGCTGCACAGGGTTATGTCTTTCCGATCTCAGACCATGTCCTTACCCTGAAAGATGATGGGACGTTCTATCGTTTTCAGGTTGGTAAGCCCTCTGCCTTCCTTGTGGCCCCTTCTACTGTCCCTGTAATAATACTGCTGAAATCACCTGCTCTTTATCCCTAAGCACCCGTCAGGTCTATGAAGCTAGGGATTAAGGCTATCTTGGTAGAGGCCTTAGGAGGTTATGAAGTCCCTTCAGAAAGATCTGCTTTAGAATCCCAAATCATTCTTTTCTACTTTCTGACCCACAGTTTTTACATAAATGAACTGATAGTGTCCTGTGATTGTTTTTGATGCGTGATTTCAACGCTGTTGTACTCAGAGTTGAAAATGACTTTCAGGTTCTAATCCTGGCACAGAATTGAGTAGCCATCCTCCTGTGCAAAATGGACCAGGGCAAACTTTGGAGTTGGACATTTAAGCTCTGGCCCAGAAGCAAATTCAAATTTTTATCCTCTCTTGATTACAGATTGGTGTGGGAGGGGGCAAGCTTCAGGCTCTTTTACAGAGGATGTGTAACCTTGGCAGTCACCTAAGCTGGGACATCTCTATTCCTCAGTGTCCCTGTGCCTTGAGATGTGTTGAATTTTTAAAGTATCCTGCGCTTGAGTTTCATGCCCCTTTCCAAAAACTGCTGCTATCAACCTCCTAGATAACTGAGTTCTTGTGCTGCAACAACTCCTTTTGGACAGACTGTGTAACTTTAAAAGAAGCAATAAGTTCAAACCTGGAGTCCTACTGCCTAATCCTGCTGGCTGAATTTGTGTTTTTCTGTTACGTGATCCCAGCCAGCTCCCTTATCTTTCCTGTGACCTCTCTTCTGTTCACCCTCCCATTCCTCCTTTACATTTGTTTTCATTTGAAAAGCCTGTTCTCCTCTTTGCATCTGATGTTGGTGCTGCTCATGTTCACTGTTCACTGTCCTACTTCTAATGTGATATTGTGTTACCATATGAGACCAAGGCCAGGGTGAACAAAGAGGCCCAGGAGCTCACCCCACCTTCTGGTTACCTGGCATCATTCAGACTAAGATTTTTCATGATAGTTCCCTTGCTTTTCTGAAAGTCCTGCTCCTCCTGTCATGCAAGACTGGACAGAAGCAGGGGTAATACTGATTGCCCATTTAGTCGTACTTCTCTCTATTTTAAAAGAATGATGCCATTAGAAGTTGTCCTGTGCAGCTCTCAGGAGCTAGATTTCAAAAGCAGAGTATCATTTAATTTCTTTTCCTTATTTTAAGCCTGTGTAAACCACATCATCAAATTGTCTTGACTGCTTATTGACTTTTCTTTCCCTTATCTTTTCCTACAACTTTTGTTTATTCTTTGCCTGTTGTCATTTCCTGCAACAGTTCTCCTCAGCCGTTTTCTGCAAAAATAACCTGATAAAATCATTTTTATTTTCCATTACTCTCTTCTTGCCACTTTCTACCTTAACATCAGTCCTTCCTTTAACAGTAGCTCATCATCTTGTGAAGTTCATAAGATAGGTATCAGTGAGGAGCATTGAACCCTGTATTGTTTGATCCCTCCATGTTTTCTCACTGTACTTTGGTGCAAGGAATAGTCTTTCTGTGTGCAATGTCCTATGCCCGTTTGTGGCATTACATCAGTAATGCAAAACAGTGTTCTGTAATTTGTGTGATCACAGGGACGTTATTTTTCATTCATGTTAAAACTGAGATACAGCCACATGTACTAATACCTTGTAATTAATTGTAGCAACTGCAATATGCAGACCTGGATAGAAAACAAAAGCAGTAATCTTAGCAGGACTTCTGCTTTTAGAACGACTCTAATCAGCTGAGTTTTGACCTCTGCCATCTGTTATATTTAAAAAGTAAATTGTTTTGTAGGCTGCCAACCACACTGGTAGCTGCTCCAAAAAAGCAAGTAGTGTGTAGCTTATATAAAAGGCCATAAGGTTTCTCATGCCCCTTTTAAAAAAAAAAAAACAAAAACCAAAAAAAGAAACAGGGTTCCTGTGAATTCCTGGGGAAAGAGGAGGTTCTGGGGATAGAAGGTAAGAGGTCCACAATCAGATGGGATGGCAACAGTGTCTAAAATGTCATCAGGATACTGGACATCCTCCTCAAGAGATGCTTGTATTACATCATCTCTATTTACCTGCAGTGAGGAATGTCAAATGTGATACCTTCCTAGAAAAGCTTCCTCACTTTTACTGAGATCTGTGGCAGTGTTTCCCCTGAGGGCAGAGACTGGGCCGTAGACTTTGTGATTCTTCTTTTTGTACTCATAATGTTTTTCTGCATCTGAATTGTTTTTCATCTCTTAAATTACAAAAATGTGTATGTTGTTTCTTAGGCACCGTACTTTTGGCCTTCAAACTGCTGGGAACCAGAAAACACAGATTATGGTGAGAGTATAATTATTTCATTGTAGAAAGTTACTACAGGAAGTTTGTGATGGAAAAAATTGTCCTTAAAATTACTGTTGGCCATCTAAACCCTTCATCAGCAGAGTTTCTTGTCAGACTGCAGCATCAGAGGCAGATTTGTGCCCATGTCAAATACATGAAGTGAAATCCCAGGGTGGCTCAAGCCCACAGAGCTGGAGCCATCAAGTTCAGTGGGGCCAGGGTTTTACCTACCATTACCCTTTATTCTCCCATAGCTCTGTTCGTTTCGGCAGGATTTATGGCAAGCAGAATACTGCTGCTTGGGAATCTTAAATAATACCAATATTGCTTCTGTGGGAGAATGTACTCTGATCTGTAGCTGGATCTGATATGTAGATCAATAAAAAGTTACCTCATCTGGGCACTCATCTGGCTGATCAATAAACCAGTATATAACTGATGGCAGCCCATAGTTAAAGTTCTCTGATATATGACATCAGACTTATTTTTCCCATTTTTTTAAGATTACCAGCTGATAGCTGGTAAAAAAGAGAAGACTGAGCATGGTTTATGAGCTAATAAACTGCAACATGGTGCATTAAACATGTGAGTGCCTGCAGACAGCGATAATACATAAAGAAAATATGTCAGTGTTGTTATCTTTAGCTGTCTGCATGCAATGTTGCTGTCTTTTCCAGAACTGCACTTCTTTCACAGTTAAATGATAAAATCAGTTGTTATATCCTGGTGTGGTATTGGAAGAGGAAGTGAATCCATGTGTGTGCTCATACAACAGGAGCTTCTGGAAGTGCTTCTTTTGAAGTATCTCATAATCTAAGATCAGTTTAGAACTCCTCCCTGAATAAGCAGGGGTTTTTTTCTTTCCTGGGCAATAATTACTCATCATTATGGATTCTGGAATTCATTTGCTGGGGTGGAGAAGTAGCCTGCAATGGGTGTCTGTCATGTGATAGTTCATTTGTAGTCCTCATCTGCAGGGAAGCTAGCACAGACTTACGCGTTTATCCCAGTGAGGGAACGGCTTAGGAGAAAACATGATGCTGTTCATTATATGCAAAATAATTTCCAGATTTTACAGTCATCATATATAACTGTCTGAACTGTGCCAAATATGTATTCTGTAAATATCAGAATAACAATCTGAAGAAGGAAGTTCTGTTTTTCACTATAGTATCTGATAAATAACTGGTTTTGCAGTCAGATTATTGTACTGCAAGGGCATTGAGTGGAACAGTACACCTCAAAATAAAGCCCTGTATGAGCTGACCCACAGCTGGACAAGCTGCAACTGTATTAGCTCTGAGCCCTGTAGTGACAGATTTTCATCTGTCCCAGAAATCTCTAACATATGCTTATAATCAGTCTTTGCATATCAGAGGTCTGTACAGATGGAGTCTTCCCAGGAATTAATCCCAAACTAGCAGTAGACCCAGATAAAACTGAAATCCCAGCAGCTCGCCATACTTTTTCTGTTTGCATGGATCCACTCACAGGACAGGAACTAACTTGCTAATGGCAGGTCACTGCCTAGCATGAAGAAATACTGGGAGATGACTGACTCACTTTATTTGGTGTTGTAAATGGCTTACAGATGAAACTGCTCTTGAGTTGTATAAATATAAATATACATGAACTGATCAGCTCTGGTTAACGTGCATAATAATTGGCTCATTATATGAAGGTTAGAATTACAGGAATAGCATAGACTAGAATTACATGAGTAGCACTGTTTTTTACATATATTTTTAAATAGAAGAATAGGTTTCCAATGGGAAACATCTATGAAGGTGTCAGAAAATTGTATTTATTAAGAAACCAAAACCCCATGGTTTTCAAAGAAAAGCTGAAATTCTCTCAAAAAGATTTATTGCAGTTTGATGTAGATGATGCTTTGCCTTCTGCCCCGCTCCAGTTTCATATGCTGTTGGACAATAAGTACCTGGCCCTGCAGCATGAGAGAGGGCAAAACACAAGGAAGCCGTAAAATTCACACCTAGATCGATCCCAAAATGAGAGCACTGGACCTCTCTTACATAGTTCAGACCTGACTGTACACCCAGGGTGTGCTGGGGACCTTGTGTTTCAGCCTGTAATGGAAATGGGGTGAGCTAGCAGTCCAGCTGAGGCTTTCCCAGAAGGCAGCCTGGGACTGGTTTGGTGCCATGCACTGGGCTCATTGTGACCCTCAGAATCCCAAACCACATCAGTTTCTGCAGTCTGGTGAAACGTGAGAAGGCTTCTCTTAACCATTTGAAATGTGTAGAATAAGTGGTTGAAGCATATGAAAAAATGCTCAGATCATACCTTTAAGATCTGGCCTGTATTTCTGTTTTCTTTTCGATATCCTGAAGTCTGTTTGTTGGTTTTTTTTTTTAAACAAGAGGGGAAAAGAAGTGCAGGGCTGCTCAGTTTGGCAGGCAAGTTCCCAAAGTGCTGAGGGGAACAGGTTGCTAATGCTAAATCTTTTACCAGCCCCAGAAGCAATTGTGCCTTTCTCAGTCATCTTGTTAGGTCCTGGTATCTACTCTCAGCACTTTTAAATGAGATGTCCCGGATGTTTAAGGCCTCTGAGATTACTAGTGGGTAATGTCAGCTGAGTATTCAGCCCTCTCATTCGTTGCCTCGTGTTGCTTTCTGATGAGAACGAACAGTGCATGGACCACTTTTTTCTTTTTTAAGATCTAGTACTAATAATCTGCCTGTAATTGTTTTCCATTCTGTTTCTCCCTTTAGCCATCTATCTTTGCAAACGGACCATGCAGAACAAAGCTAGGTTGGAGCTGGCGGATTATGAAGCCGTAGGTACACTGCTACTAGTGTTTAAAGCTGGGGGGTGCAGGGAGAGCTTTGCTTGCCAATTGAATGCTGCCGTTTTGTGCTTTGGGGTCAGCCTTTACTGTGTCTTTTTTTCAATTGTCAGAATTGTGTGGAGGTTGATCTGGAGACAACATCAGGAACGTGATTGGGTAACGTCCCTGGCTTTGCAACATCTCCACTTAAAGCATCTGCTGTATAGCCAGCCCTCCAAGATTGGGGAAATTACACAGAAGTTTACATTGGTTTCTTATTTCCAGTTAACAGTTCCTGGGTTATATAGCAGATACTAACACAGGAAAATGATGGCTTTCAGGTGCATTACTGGGCAATTAAATTTCTGATGATCCATCTAGTTGTGGACCTTAAAAGGAAAGTTTTCAGATATTAGACTTGGACTGTTTTCAATATGCCATATAAAAATTATTACTCAAGCTTATTCAGGGCATATTTGCTGTTATGAAATGTTTGTCCATAAAAATATCCCCAACCTTGACTTCAGATTGTGGAGGGTTTGGGTGGAGAGGAGTGGGAAGATGGAGGCAGGAGGGGCAGCGCTGGTGTGAGTTTCTTTGAATGCCAGCAGTGTAACGCTCTGACCAGCTGAACTTTTCTTTCTTTTTTTTTTTTTGTTCACTAGCTCAACAGTGTAGCAGTTGAATTTCAAATGTGGAGTTTTTCGTTGGAGGGTTTGTTTACAAAGCTGGTTGCAGTGGACTTCTGTGTTCATGTTTATTACAATGAAAACACTTATATTGCATATATTTTAGGTTTTTTTTCCAATAATGGACTTTTTCCTTCTTCCTTACCTTCTACGTTTTGGGACTTTAGTGCACATGGATATATATACATGCCATTTGGTCCTTTCAGTGAAGAGCATGCAAAAATTACCACTTACCTAGTCCACCCTGGAAATGCATCCAGAGTTCCCAAGAGTTCTAATATTGAAGTACAGGCATAAAGGAAGGAACATAATAATCTGCATGCACTTACACATCCTTTTGCTGAGTTTTCTCTTCTGCATATTGTTGATTTCATTATTAAAACCATTAAAATTGCTCACAGCCAACCAATTAACTGTAAGTACTCTAAAGATCTATCATAAAGCAACAAAAGGCTGTTCAGCAGCGCACACACTCCCACACACATGCAGCGAGGCTATGGCTAAGTACTTTTGCACATCGTTGTCTACTGAGAGTAGCAATGCTCCAGTGATGGCAAATAATTAGATCTTGGCAGTCTCTCATTTTTCTTGTGAATATTGCATTGCACAATTAGAGATCGCTTCTGCGTTCAAACTTTGCTGTCTTAATTAGAGACAATCCGATAAGAACAGCACCAACTCTTCCTAGTCATTATGGGAGCTGAAGCTGATCCAGCAATGGAGATGTAAGCTGAGCACAAGTGAGAGAAACAGGCTTATAGGAGTGGAAAGGAGCCCTGTATATTTACTACCTATTTTTGGAGATGTAGTATGAGAATGCTTGTCCGTAGGCATCAGCACTGACCTGGAGTTTCCAAAGAGAATCTCTACAAAGCATCTCATGGGCCATCTTCTCATTTTTAGGTTCTGCTTGCAGCATTCATAGACAACCCCCCACCCCCTATTTATACTGGTAGAGCAGGGGTCTTGACGATATGATTAAGCTTGCATAATTGCATTCAGTTTTGTTTATAATTGGCCAAACATAAGCACAATTCAAATATTGCTTCAGTTGGTGCTGTTTCATTGCCTTCAACATATTTACTCCAGAGGGCACATGTGAACATAATTTGAAATAAAATAAAAAAAAGAAACCCTCAAAAAATTGTTTTTGCAGCTAACTACAAGTAGTTCTTCCTTGTAGCCACAGTTAAGGAAATCATCGCAGTTCAGCACAGCTGTAAATCATTTGCTTAACTGTTTTCTTCCGTGTATACAGACTGAAACTCTTACATGGACTTGGTGGTAACAGGGCCAAGCTTTATGCCTTGTGTTATACAAGAGTTTAAAGTAAGTAATAGGCAGATTTCTTCTAGCATTGAAATGCATGCACTTAAGCACTTTCTTGAATTTCAGTGAAAATTTGCAAGAGTTGAACCAGCTGTAGT